CGAAACAGAATCTTATGCCCATTTCTTCAATATGGTTCAATTCAGAGTTCCTGTAAACTGCGTTCAATTTTGAACGCAGTTTAATCTTCGATCAACTTAATTTGTTTTCTTTCAACTTTATCTTGATCTTTTTCCGATCAACTGAACGTATACCCAATGTGCTAATTCCAATTAAATTTATATCAAGTAATGTGATTGATGCATAATGAGCAGAAAAATGAAAAATTTGACGATAAAAGTCGAGATGGTCAAGCAAAAAAAAAACTCCAAATAATCTTCAACTTCATGACGAAATTCAGAAGAATATTAAAAAAACGTTGATTAATTTGTTAGTGGATAATAAAAATAGAGCTAATAAATATAATGATGAATAATATGAACTTGAAATTTTAAAAAGAAAATTTTAAAAGGAAAAGAAAAATATGAACTTGAAATTTTAAAAAATGCAATTGCAAAAAGAAAAGTTGCAAGTTGAAATATTACAGAAAGAATTAGAGTTAAAAACTTTTATTTTAGAAAAAGAAAAAGAATAGCGAAGATTAGTGTTATAAATATATATATATATATATATAAAATACTTTTTTATAGATAAAAAGTTCTTAAATTTTTATTATTTTCGTAAATTAAAGCAAAATTTAATTTTATTTAGTTATTTTTATTTATTAAAAAAAATGTGTTTAATTTTCCTATTATCATAGGTATATTTTTGAATAACCAAAGATAAAATCAGGATTACTCACATTTATTATAAATTACTATTACTTGCATTTATTATAAACTACTGTTATACTCATAGCCTATATATAATTAAAAGTTTTAATTTTTACTCGTTTTGCGATAGAATATGATCAAAAGAAAGTTTTATTTATTTGTCATAAATAAATGATAAATTAATTTGTCATAAATGTTATTTATTTATTTTATTTATTTACTGTACTAGCTTTTAATTAATTCAAGGATGAATATAGTTTGTTTAATAAAATAATATATTGATACCCTCAAATACTGATATATGCACATACGTTTTGTGTTGTCTTCTGCTTAAACGCCGTTCAAATTTGTTAACCGACCAAAAATGGGCGTTCAGAATGAACGTTATTTAACTGACTTGAACGTGTACAAAAAAGTTGATGGAACGCAAAATGTCATTGATCGGAGTTTAAATTCGGTTCAAATTTTAAATCAAGTTGGAGGAGAGATAAACTGTGAACTAGTGCAGCCAGTTCAGTCAAAAAAAAACAAGCCTTATAATACAAAAAATTCAAATAAAAATTTGAATTTTATAATTAAAAAATAACGTGAATAAATAACGTGTTTTTGTAATATTTAGTCCAATAAAACAAAATTAATAAATTCAATCTTCATTGTATTGTAAGTTGCTAGAACATCTGTTATCAATACGTTTCTATTTATTTAATAGAATTTTTACAATATCTTTAGGTATATTTCCCTAAAATACAGGAATGTGAATATATGAGGCGAATGTGTCACATATATTGTATAATACCACATTTAGAAAGCTTATATACTATTTAAATGTTCACATTTAGTAGTACATAATCAAATAAACGATACAATTAAGTGCAAAATATAAGCGTTTGACATCACAGTTTTTTTACATTAAACATATAATCACTAGGATATTGAATCAAACTTTTTTAGAAATATGATATTCAAAAATACAAATTTTTCTTAAAAACAAAAATTTTCTACAAAAACCAAAATCATTCAAAAGAGTATTGAAAACATACAACTTTTTCAAGTATTTTACTAGAATTCTAATCTTGTAAACGTATTATTTTTCATATATAAATAAAATAATCTCCGACTATAAATTTTATGACTTAATTTACATTTTCAAATTACGAAATAATTTCCAGTTTTAACTTTCTAATCTAGACAAGAGTTACTCAGTCCGATTTTCGTGTGCTTTGGCGACAAATTTTCTGAAAATATAATAAACACTACATTTTTAAGGAATTTGGCTTTATGTGAAATTTTCGTAATAAGAAACTGCATTTATTTGCATTTATTTTAAAAATATGTTAACTTACTTAATTATAGTAGGTAATTCCTCATATCTACAAATATATTTATGTCCAAGTCCATGAGACGAATCTATTTTTATCATTTGGATACGATTTGTATTATTTCCAAAACTATCTAATGCTGCTTGATAAAGCTGAAATATAAAATTACTCGTAAATATTGAGAGATCTTCTATAATAATCTATGCAGTCATCTGAAAGTTTATAAATGATATATTATAGCCATACCTTTTCTGCCAAGAAAACTGGAATTACACCATCATCTTCAGCATGTAATATCATAATAGGACAGTCAATCTTAGTAATATGTTTATCAGATTCAAATCGTAAATTATTCTTATAAAATGGTTCAACGGCCATCCAATGGAACCATGGTAAGTGCTTGAACATCTGCATAAAAAAAGTATAAAAATAAATATTTGAAATGTGATTTACATTTGAAAAGATAATAATTATAAAATCTACTTGTGCAAAGGGATGTTCGGTTAATTCATCCTGTATGTTATTGAATGGCGCTTCTAGAAATAATCCTGTTGGCTGCATATTTTCAGCTGCCAACAGATCTAATACATGTGTCGAGACTCTAATGATAAATAAAAATTTATATAGCAAATTATCTCAATTTGCATTACAAAACATGATTTAAAAGCAATTTACCCAGTTCCTAAAGAGTGACCCCAAACAAAAACTGGAGCTGAACCATTAACTTTTTCATTACCCACTCAAGAACATATTTGCTATCCATAACTACACCTTCTTCGGAAAGTTCAACTACGTCACTATCTCCATAGCCTAAATCAATGAAAGAATGATTAAAAATTGATTAAAAAATTTACTTTTTAACACATAATATTAAAAGTGAATAGTATTTTACATGCAATATTATAACTAAATGCATTTCTTCCAGTACTCACTTCTATAATCAAAACATATAACATGATAATCTAAGTCTTGGAAAAGCTTATAAAGCTCGAGTCTATGGGAACTTGCCCTATTGCCACTATTTCCATGCATATAAAGAAAAATAGGTTGTTCGGCATTACTTAAAACTGCTTCGTAAGCTTCATCTGTCACAGGAATGGAATTATTTAACAAAGATCGCGGTAATATTTGCCTGTAAATAGATTATTAATGTATAACATAGTATGCACCTATATATTATAATGTAACGATATAATGTAACGATAAATATTTTATAAAATCAAAAATTTTATATTAGTTTTGTGCGATCACTCACCATGCACCTATCTTTACTTGCTGATCGGTATGTAAATAAAAATTTCTAGCACCTTCCAATCCAACTGATTTTGGGTCAGAAAAATCTATTTTAAGTGGCCAATGTACTAAAACAGATTAAAATTATGTTTAATACGTTATTGATATGAGTTTTCATTTCATTATATTTCAATATTAAAATAAAAAAATTAACTTCAATATTTTTCAAATTTTTTCGAAAGTTAATTTTTTATTAATTGTACATGAAATTAATTACTTACCAAAATTTAAAAAAAGTATCTTTTTTTGAAGCATATAAGAATAATGAAAAATTACTGGTAAAAGTCCAAATATAATGAGATACATCAGTGCTGATGCCTTCATAGTCCAAGTTAAACATCTGTAATATAGCATTTATATAACATTTACATATATACATGTGTACACAGCTGAAAAAATAGTTAATAATTTAGCAGAACTTTAGTAGCAGAATTCTATTATTATTGGTGCAATTAAAGCATGTTATAACAATAAAAGTAATAAGAAAATTAAATACCTAGATTATCCTAGAATCATCTGAAATTCTTTAAACTGCATATTTTTTATTACAGAATCAACTTTTAGTCATCAAAGAAAATTGATATGCTAGTCTCCATATAAATCAATAGTTAAAAAAAGTCTCATAAACAAATTAAAAATTTTATCACAATTATAATTTGTATAAAATTATATTACAAAGTATTTAAAATTACAGCAAATAATTTTATCAAGAAAAGATTGATTTCAAATGGACGAAAAGATTCTAAGATAATTTAGGAGATTTTCAAATGTTTTATAAATTATTAGATTGTATGTATGTGATTATTAATTTTATGACATCGCTCAAACATTTTGTACATAAAAAATGTAATATATTGTATATAAAAAATGCAAAGGAGCAGTTAAAAGCTAAAAAGAATAATAAAATAGCAGAGAACAGCAGTAACAAGAAAAAAATATAATTAAACGATGGCTGTCTAAAAAAATTAAACATCCATACATATAGGATGAAAGCTTCTATAATTAAAGGTATCAACAGATAACAGTATCAACAGTGTAACAGATGTAAAATAACCTATTCAGATGCAAAAATTAATTATTAAATAAATTTATTCTTAAACAGCAACAGATTCTATGTGAAATGATATATTAATGATATATTTTATATTTATATTATACCTTATCATATTCATAGCAGTCATGGAATCATTATATTCTTTTACACATTTATAAATTTTTACGTTCATAATACACAAGTCATGATTTTATCTCTTGATGTTTATAATTAACAAATCAAGCTAACATATTGTGGCTAACACATTGTGTAATTATTCAATGATAAGTATGATGTAATACATATAAAAAAAAGCAAGCATTTTCGACAGATTACAAATATATGTTTTGTTTATTCTTATTATGTAAAATATTTTGTTTATTTTTTATTTATTATTCTATCAGTTTTACATCCCCACTTTCACTTCACTTTGTTTTATTTAGTTTCATTTACTATATATATATTACTATATATATTTAGTAGAAAATAGATTGTCTAAATCTTGTTTAGAATATTAAATCGTATTCTATACAAATCGTCCTCGCAATTTTTAAAATACTTACAGATATAATCTGAATAAAAAATTTTTATATTCCTTTATACATGAAATAAAGCCAGATTTTGCAACATGAAAGTGCTGTGTAATAATTAATATTTTTATTGTTCACATTACTCCATCTTTCATGAATCATTATAACTACACATCCCACTCTCATTCTTAACAGTTGACAACAGCTTGTAGATCGAAAGTCCTCTTCTTATTAAATCTTATTAAATTCTTTTAAATCAGAAAGCACATTTCTATCAAGATTAACGTTTATTTCTTAGCATAAAAATGATGACAAATTTTAATGAAACACAAAACTGATAAAAAATAAAATACAATGTCTTGATATTGAATTATTTCTCTGTTCAAATTCAATTTTATTGAGTTGTATCATGTCCATAGTAAGTTGACCTATGGTGATCAGTTTTACTAATTTGTTATGACTAATAAGAATAATTGTTGAAAAATGTGTCACCGTGGCTATAAGCCAACATAACTGTGATAGGAATAGAGTTGAGTTTCCAACAAATAAAAAAATACACTGATTTTACACCATTTCTTTAAATAAGCTTGCAAGCTACATTGTTACACAGTTACATTAACAAAAGGAATAAAAAAAATATATATTCACAGAAGTACAATTATGATAAAGTAACTTACATTCCCATGTACCAAATCTCAAGGATGACGATTGGTACTATCACCACTAATAGTAGATACATCATTTAGTAGACTATTAGTAGTTACTGTTTCTTTACAGTATTTTCTCGTCGCAAGTCCTTTCTTCGATCAAACTTAATTCCACAAACTTGTGAGAAATCGTTTTATTGTTACTATACGTGATTTGGATACAAAATGATAAATTACAAAAAATATAATATACATAAGCTACATAAATATCTTTTCTATATTCCTGACTATGAATAAAAGTAATGTAAATCAAACACTATATCTCAAATATATATCTGATAAATATAACTATTATTTATCTCTTAAAAAATTCAGTTTACAGAAATATTATATAACAGATGCTCAAAAATATATAAATCTTTGCGATGTCTTTACTTTTTCACTTGAACGTTTGAATCATGTGGAATCATGAAAACTGGTACTTTCACTCCTTAAAATTTTTTTCTACTCGGGACACAGAAAACAATTTTTACTAGTTGTATAAAAATATTCTGTCACACATGTCACGCTGTCACGATACGCTCTTTTTACATATTCATTAAGCATTAATATAAGGACGATAATTATATATATAGATTAGTAACAGCTATTCTACCTCCTAGCAAAACGTCCTCGTAAACCACAGTTACGTTGCCTATCGATCGCAACAGAGTATAATCGATCTTGAGAAAGGGGAAATTTAACTCGTTCAGAGAATAAATGCCTGCATGCAGTTTTAATGAAACTAGTACCTTCTCATGAAACGCTTCTTCGGTAGCCAATAAACCATTATTATTATGTATATACGACGGATCAATAGAGCGTTATACCGCCTATCCTGTTAAAAATTTCACAGATGTTTACAGAATTAATTCCACTGTATCGTTTATACAATTGACAGTTGCAAGCCACGAGACAATGACAATGACATCACGTTACGGAAAAGAGAGAGCGCGACAGAAAACACCCAATGCTCGGACGGACGCGCCTTCGCTTTGATTTCGCTGTTTTATTCGCTACGGCCTCGTGCCTGAATGAGATATCTTCAATCGCACATCGTTCGTTATACCGTTTCGCACCTAATACTGATTAATAATACTCGGGTGATTCGGGAATCGACTGACGCCTCGGCGCAGTTCTCGAGGTTCGTGGTTCGTCTAAAGTGAAAGTGACATGAAGTTGGCAGGAGACCGCCGGCGAAAGATGGGAGAAGGGGAACAAGAGAATGCGCGTAGGATTTGTTGCACTTTCTACACTCTCATCAGTTCGTTCACCAACCGTTTCACCGTTCGGCAGCTTGTATTATAAAATTATTATGCAATATCGCGTGACGTTTTGATTACGAAAAAGTAGATAAAGCATGCGAGGAAAAAAAGAAAAACACTTTAGAAAGTAAACCAGGAAGTAAAATAATGAGGATAATATAAGCGGGAAGTAAAATCGTAAAATTGCACGATATATTCAAAAAATATACTAGATTGTGCCATATATATGTATTTACTATTAGGTTACACGAATTTTTTACGTATTATTTACGTGATGTTCACACGAACATTTTTTATGTAAGATAATGCAAACATGTAAATTATATGATAATTATAGAAGATGATACACAAAAAAATAATTAAGTTTTAAAATTGTTAATATATCTTTAGTGTATTAACAATAAAAATATATTATACAATAAAAATATATAATAACATTAAAAATTAAAATACATATTAAATTATGACATATTAAATTATGACATATTAAATTTTTATTATATATCAGGTTTAAATAAAAGTTATTTTTTAATTAATTTTATATCATATTGTATGTATATATATCATACCATAATATATTATAATTTAATACATTTTTTAATATATTAATTTGTCTAAATAAAATATGTTACATATAAACAAAATAATCTTCTATAATCTATAAATAATATTTTATACATAAATTATATTTTATACGGTTTATACAGCTAGTTTACATAGCTTACATTATTTACACGTAATGTAGGCTATATATATTTTATGCATAAACATACAATTCTAACATGTACATAACATAATCAATTAAATAATTTTAATTTAATTGATTTTATTGAATAATAAAATTAAAGATCTCAGTAAGCAAGATGAGAAGAGTTTTAAATAACATTTTTAAAATTCTATTAGATTTTCTTAAAAATAATATAATATAAAAATAATATAAAAAAATTTTATTTTGTATATGTGTTTTAAAAATATATACTTTTTATATTAATTCTTTTATATCATTAGTATCTTTTGTAACAGAAACAACAGTCGATTTAAATAATATTTCACAAATTTTGTTTTGATAAATTAATTTTAAAAGCTTGATTTTAAAAGTTTTTAGAACGAAACGATGCTCTTCCATCTGAAGTTAAACACTTTCGGATTGGATGCGCCGTATCTAGATGGTCAAGGCAGTGTCACTTTCTTTCACAATGATGGTTTTTTCAAAAAAATATGCCAATTTTACCTAGTATATATTTCAATACATATTTTTTTTAATTTCCAAAATATTTTAAAATTAATTAAAAAAAATATTTGAGTAAAAATATCTTTTTTTCTTATAAGCTGATGCTTCCCTGAGAATACAGTCAACGCACATGCGTGAAAAACGTCATTTAGAACATCAACATATACTCGATTGTTGTTTTCTGCAATGTAATATCGCCACGGTCGTTCGTACATTTAAAATTAATTCTCGTGTCGGCTCGATGCGGGATTTACATCGCAAGAAAAGGAGAAAAAAAAAGAGAAGTGAATTATGCGATGTGTCCTCAGCGGGGATTCATGCTTGAATATGATGGATCTGAGCTGTTGAATGTTACGAGTATCGCTTCTGCGAGTATGATGATTCCACGATAGTTTATACGATGAAGATAAAGTTTCGATCATGTCAACGCTCGTTGAGATCAACAGTATTTCATATCCTATCGATGAGGACTGCCTCCCCGGCATGGTTGAGCGAATCGACACGACGGTGACGTATGATGATTTCTTCTCTGAGCATCTAATACGTAACAGACCATGCATCCTCGGCTCGTATGCCACTGAGAATTGGCCGTGCCGGCGTGAATGGGTATCAGATGGTGCGCCCAATTTCGAGATGCTCCGCACGCTATTTGGTATGTGGAAAGTCCAGTGGTAGGAGCAAGGATTACACAACGTGGTTATTAATGTGATCTCTATTATCCAGGATGTTCCATTGTCCCGGTTGCTGATTGTAACAGAAAGTTTTACAATTCGCAATTCAAGAATGATATGTCTATGGAAAGCTATTTGGAATATTGGGTCGATTACAAGCGGAATTGTTATGTTAAAACAATGCCATTGTTGTATCTGAAAGATTGGCATTGTGCAAGAAATTTCCCCAATGTTCCGATTTACGAAGTGCCTCAATATTTTGTATCCGACTGGCTAAACGAATATTACATTGCCCATCCCAAGCTAGATGACGATTATATGTTTGTGTATATGGGGCCAAAGGAGACATGGTAAGTACAATTTCCATATTACAGTTTTATTTGTGACTGGCTATTTCATTATATTAGCTATCGCCATCTTCCTTTGCATTCATTTAATTGCTGTGATAATGTTCAGGACTCCATTACATGCCGATGTTTTTACATCGTATAGCTGGTCTGCAAATATAGTTGGAAGAAAAAGATGGCTGCTTTTCCCTCCACATGAAGAAGATCATTTCCGTGATATTTATGGGCAATTGGCATACAACGCAGTTTCAGAGGAACTCAACGATCATACAAAGTACAAAATGTATGATAGTAAAAAATTAAAATGCTTTGATGTAATTCAAGAAGTTGGAGAAATTATATTTGTACCATCTGGATGGCATCATCAAGTTTGGAATTTGGTAGTTAAAATATTGCAAAAAAGGAGTTTGATTATGTATTAATAGAAAATTAATTAAATACTATTTTTCCTGTAGGAAGATACAATTTCCATTAATCATAATTGGATCAATGGATGCAATATCTCCAATGTATGGTATGCATTAAAAAAAGAATTAAGATCTGTTATGAAAGAAGTTGATGATTGCAAGGATATGAAGAATTGGAATGAACATTGCCAATTGATGCTAAAAAGCTCCTATGGCATGGATTATAAGCAGTTTTTCGAATTCATATCGTTTATTGCTAAGAATCGTTTACATGCTATGATAAAAAAGGATCAAGTTGTAAGCTTTAATAAGTATCATTTCGGACGTAATCACTGTTTATTTGATTTGCGAGCGCTTAAAACTGTGTTAGATGATGTTATCATAGACGCGCAAGATCTGTCCGTGTATAATTTGATGTGCAAGAATGATGAAGCTCGCGTGTTATTAAAAAATATTACTTCGTTTCTTGAGTCCTCTTGTGACATTGAAAATGTAATTTATTCATAAACACGAAACTCAATAAATTGTTAGGAAACTAATCGTAAATTTTCTTGTAAATATAGCATGTACTTTACAGTTAAAACCGTGTTATTCTTATATATAAAGTTCTATAAATTCCTTCCTCCCTCCTTCCTTTAACTTTGTTTAAATTTTCTCTTAAAAGATAACATTTTGCAGAATTGCTCATTTGAATGTTGTTTTGTACAGCGAGCATACCATGTTAGATGCTATCTAATCATAGTAGACATGAGTAAAATTTATGAGATAATTAAAAATAAATTCATCAATTAAGAAGAAATTGCATATGTTAGCCGTGCAGAACATATAGTATGGCAAAAACAGACGGCCTGTTTTAAGCAATAATTATCTTAAGTTCTATAATGAATATGGCTATATTAAAAGCGCAGACACATGAGTGAAATTGACTTTTACTCTTAAAACATAATTAAACATAGAAATTTTTCTTCAATTGAACATATACTATTCTCTAAATATAAAGATTTACAATAAAAATGTTATCTGTATTCTATTAAGCTAAAGTGCAACCTAATTGTGGATACGTTGTTTCCGCTACTCGCGAAACAATAATAGTACCGCGCAAAACGCAACTTATATCTATCTTTAACATATTGTCTTATTTATTCTCAATTATATAAGCATAAATATCCTAATATTTATGGGCGGCTGCACGCGCATGCGCGTTTGCGCCTATATGCATGTATATGTATACACGTAGCGTACACGTGGTATTTCAATAAAAATATACAAAATTTATAAGATGCAAGTATTTTCTTGATGAAAAGTGCTCAACAGCTTGATTATTCACACTGTCTAGAACACGATTCTCTTAACAAAATTCAATGTATATATTATTATATGTATTCACATAATATATTTCTGGATGTGCATTTAGTTCCGTTAAAGTGTTCCATCATTCCGATATGCTACATCTAATATGGATATGCATAAAGTAAAGAGGAATGATAGAAACTTATAATTTTAACATATCCGTAACAGTGTTCGAATTATTTTGATTTTTGTAAAACTTCTCTGAAAAAAATAGATAAAATCATATATATTCTTCTCTCT